CCTGCGTATCCATTTTCTTCCTGATCAACAGTACTAGGTCCTCTGGACGCAGAAAGTGAATCGGCCAAGTGGACCGCTCCGCGGGTTTTTCGCGTGGGGTGCGGAGGCTTCTGCTTCACCCCCCGTCCTTAGCGTCGCTGGCGCTTGGATGGTGACTCTCCTAGTCTTCCTCTCCTTGGCGCAGCTCGCCGAGCCATGCGCCTTCGCGTAATTAACTAGTCTCAAAAACGAAACGTCCCGATTGTCTTGTTGGTATTGCGATACCATTGGCTTGATACTCGAATCGAGTCCTTCAATAAACATCGTCATTTGTTCTTCCATCGAATATACGTTTCCACATCGATTTCTCGCGTCCGTCAGACGGATATAAAGTTCCATCTCGTCTTCAGACGGTAGCTGCTGTACTTCCCGTAGAGCGAGTACGGCTTGGCGGATTGCCTCATCGGTGGCGAAGCTTCGCAATAGCCACTGTACGGCCTCCGGCCAGACGGATATTTTCCCATGGTGGGACCCCGCCGTTTGCGACACCGAAGTGTACTGTCTCAAGGCGATTCCGCTGAGGAACTCCGGTAGCAAGCGGATCGCTTGGCCTTCGTTCATCTCCTGAGTGTCGAATTCTTGGACTATCTTAGCTAAAAAATCTAGAACCAATACGCCATCGTCTCCTGTGAACGTATTGTCTCTCCTCACCTTTGATGGAATGTCTCTTCTGATCTTTCGCACGGCGGTCCGCCGCTTGCTCGACAAACGTGTCTGCGGGTTCTGCAGGCGGTACGTCCTGTACGAAAGCAACTTCTTGAAGAGGTGGTTGCTCGGATTTAATTCCTCCAACTCCTCCCATCGCGGTCCGCGCCGCGTCGCGATGTTTTCTGGCTCCGCCTCTTGATCTCTCCGCGAGGCGGATGAGGTGACTCCGCCTCGTTTGGAGCTCTTCTTATTCGACGAAATTCCATTTCCGTTTGTCGATCTTCGGTCGGAATTTCTTGAATGGTTCGACGAGCCGTCGTCACCATTTTCTTCTGAAACATTCGACTCCGAATTTGAGTCGCAATTTTCGGGGTCGTCACTACAGTGACTTTTCTTCTTCTTTCGGCCTTTGGCCGACTTGGGGTTCCTCCACTTGGAATCCCGGGTCCGGACTGACTTGTCCTTCTTCGTTGGACCGTCGATTTCTTCTCCGTTGGAGAGCGATCCCGCGTCCAAACTTGGCTCGGCCCGGCCGCAGCTTGCTCAAGGTCCTTGAGTCGCCGGGAAGCGCAGTAGAACCGGTCTTGGATGCTGTCTCTTGTCTTGGCCAGCGTTTCCAGGGCCTGATTCGCGTCCCGCCGCGCTTCTTTCGCGGCGAGCTTTAGCGAATTCAGCACTTCCGGATCTCGGCCCGGGGACGCATCGGTACCTAAATTCTCAACGAGAACCACACGGGCTGTCAGCTCTTATAGTGCAGCGTGGAACTCGGATTTTAGCAACTCCTGTTGCTTCTGAAAAATACCCAGAAGTTCGTCGAGCTTGTTCTTCGTCTCCTGACGAATCTCCTCGCTCAATCTTTCGAACTTCTCTTCCAGGCCGTTCTTCTCAACGGCCGTCCCCGAAGGGGACGCTTCTGCAACTGGATCAGTAGCCGAAATTTCCTTGGCTACGTGTACGAGGTCCTCGCAGAATTCTCGACTCCTGAGCTGATCCAGCCCTTCTGACCCCAGGACCGACGTCCTTGGGTTGGCTTGATGCCATGGTCCGCTCTTAATAAACGAGACCTATCGAACTAATTTACCTATTTCCGACTTCTGTGTTCAGTTCCAGATTCTAGGTCGGGAGACCACCTATGTAGTGCAATGTGCCTGTCAGGCCGGAACCAGGGTCCAACGGTCCAGCGACAACACAACCAACAAACAACAACCAACAAAAGTTGCCGACGGCACAGCCCTACAGAGTGTCCGATTCTCCCTTTCCCTTTAAGTGGGTTTGCGGCCCACAGTAGCTCAAGTCCCTGACAGGGGGGGGGCAAAAGGAAAAGGCCCGCCCCGGGACGAATGGTGGTAGAGTCTTGTACAGGCAGTTGCTCGGCGAGTTCGGGGCGGTAATTAGGAAGCCGGGCCCGATGGGTCGTAAATCCAATGCTCGCAAAGCGCCTGTTACACCTTATACCCTTGATAAGGTCTTCGACGGGGGCGTCGCAACGCAGCCCGTCGGGAATTAGCAAACACGTAGCAGTGCTACACCTCCGTACTGCCCGATGGCAAAGTACCGACACCGGAACGGTCGCAATCTGTATCCGATGGAACCAACACTGTCCTGTATACACAACAGGACCTTCGAGGGAAACGTCGTTGCAACAGCCTCCGTCGGTGGTCGTAAACAAGTAGCAGCGCTACACCCACGTGTCGCCCGATGGCAAAGACACCTACACCGGTCCGGTCGCAACCAAAGCCGATGGCACCAACACAAGATAAGGGAATAGAGATAGAGATAGAAATAGAAAAGGATAGGTGAAATAAAGGAAAAGGAAACGGAACCCCCGAACGCAAAGGATAACGTAATCTGTGGTAAAAGGGAGCGTCTTGGGAAAGACGGACTTCGACCAAGGCGATATTCAACTCTGGCAACTCGGGTTACCTTTACTGACTTGGTGGTCAGAGGGATAAGGTATATATCGCCCCGCCGGAGCCACTACAGTGGCTCGCGGCGCTAGATCCGAGATCTAATCTAGTGTCAGCAAAATTAATGCCAACTAATTAACTAAATAAAATAAAATAATTAAAAATTAAAACTGTGCAATTATTCACACGTGTGTCCCCCAACTCGGACTACTTTTCATATCCAAATATTTTCCTTTCTTTTCACCCCCCTTTTCAGGTGTGTATTGCACTACAGCTAAAGCACGGAAACGGAATCGTCTTACATTTTACAACTCGACTGATGGACGGAAACTGCGCTTAAATGTTAAAAATCACACCCCAATACAGAAAACAGGCGTCAATCGTTGCTCTTTGTGCGGACAGAATCGGACAGGATACAGGGGACATTAGACATCTTATGTGTGCTCAATTGGCCCAGTACGACTATGCGTACGGACATACGCATGGCTACGCAAGAGCTGTTTTTCTATTTGGCATTCATCGAAAGTGGTTGAGACTCGGCATTTGTCCCATCCTGTGTCCCGTAACATTGTCGCTGCAGAACCAACTGAGACAAATTTGACTGCTGCAAGAGCTGGCACAGGCCGTCAGGGAGACAATGGTGCAACTTGCAGTGTTGTGGGAGAAGATGATGAAATTCAGCAAGCCACACCCACACTGAGAATAGGTTCGAGAGTAAGGGCTACGTCCTAATATTTCGGTAATACGGACCTGTTGCATGTCGAACGTTTGAGGTGGTCTTGAATGTGTAGAATTAAATTTGGAACCTTATCTTTATGCAAGCTATGTTTTCCCATGTGGCCAGTATACTGGCCATAAAGGATTTTGTCCCTCTGAAACTTGGTCAGATAGCTTCAACTTTGGTTTACAGTTGAAGACCCATAATTAAGGCAAAGTCTCTCATGTTTCGTCCAATGAATGTAGCAAGTCTGCTGCGCCGTGTTACCTGGTTCGTTTCAGGGATTGACCAGATTGGAGTTACTTCTGTACTTTTAAAGTTTGTGGCCAGTATACTGGCCACAAGGGAAAGCATTAGGGATATGTCTGAACTGTGAGCACAGCCGACACTGCTCGCTGAATCCCACGTTTGTACGGCGATATAGACTTTCTCTGCGCAATGGAGAGTGCTGTTCTAATGCTTGCAAAGCTTGTCAATGGATTTAAGAATGCCGAGACTTTGACGGGAAAGCCGTTCATGGTTTGGTGTCTGTACTGACACGTGTAAAATGCGGAAAAGAGGCAGGACTTTCCAAAATTGGGATTTTTGAAATTGCCTCAACTGTAAATGGAGGACTTCTTTCAGATAAATTGGACGGTCCTGTTGATTGGGCAGATTTGTTTTAATATCTAACCATATGTTTTATCAGGATGACCATTTGTGTGGTTCATTACAAGGCAAGAATCCTCCTTTGGCCCGTACAGCGTATATATTTGTAACATTTTTTCGAGTCTCGACAGTTGGGATGTGGTCCCAAAGTTATAGACACCCCTTTTAGATCCAACGTCAGAGAGTATCCCCACCGCATCAGCCCAAAGACCAAAATCCGTGTTTGGTCCAGGTTTTGGTCTGAAATCAACCCTGCCCACCAGCCCAATTCCCAAATCCATGCCCAAATTTTGGAATTGGTCCGAAATCTCACCCAAAGCAAAACGCTTTAGTCTACAATCCCATACTTTTGGGCAAGCCCGAAGAGCGCTCCAAATTGGCGGGAAGAGCCAAAACACTGTGTACAGTGCAACAGGAAGAATACTCTACATGGACCGTGCAGCATTGCGCAGAAGAAGCAGTCCGGTCGACCTCTTCCTCAAATTTCCCCAATAATAGCGACTATTCCGCCACTCGACATTGATAACGAAACCTTCAGGCGAACCCATCCGAACACCGGCAAAGCACTCAGATGGAGCGATATCGAAATAGTTGCTTTATCGATAGATGCATCTCTGGCATGCTCAGATTCTAGTGTCGGGTCGGGCATGTCATGTGCACAGCTGGGTCGCAAAATCCGCTCTGCTTTCAGCCGAGACTGAAAACGCCTAGCGAAACTTTGCAGTCTCGAAAAAACGGCGGTCAATTGCATGGTAGAAGGTGAGATGGGCGGTCTGCAGAAGCATGTCTGAAACAGTGGGTGAAGGTGAGGAGAGAAGCGAAAAAGTTCAAGGCCGCAAGGGATCGTGTCACTTCAATGGAGCTGACAGGAAATCCAGACGAGGATGGGCTCGAACGCTGCGCGCAGCTCATATACAGCGACGGTGGTCGGGTCCTGTCTCATCTTTACGTTTGCATCCGCAATCCACAGTACCACATCAAGACACAGTTTCCGTTTGTCGACGCATACAAATTTCTTACGAAAAACAATACTGTTTTAGATGCAGTTGGAGATAAAGAAGACTCAGACGGCATCATTTCCGAAGAGGACGAGAAGGAGGGAAATAAGGAAAAAAGGGTGCGTCGACTTGGAGTTGAAGCCGCAAAGAAGCAAAAGGTGATCAAGAATCACGAACGCACCTCTGTCGAGAAATGCGCTTCACACATGTCCTGTTCTGTGTTCAGGATCGAAAAGGTTTTGTTGTCGGCACAGGAAATGAAGAAACACATCTCCGAACGCGGACTTGAGCTATAGGAACGCAAGCTCGAATGGGAGCTGTCGAAGGAGCTCTTCGATCCTGGTTCTGATGCCAGAGAGTCCGATCGCCACCAAATGCGACAATTAATGCGCAAACGCATACTATCGCAACTGAGGTCGAAAAAGTACGGACGCATCCCGAATAGGGGGGTACAGGTTAGGTCCGCACGCATTTCCGATCCGACGACAGAACGCATTATCGATATGGAGAATGAAAGTGGTGGCAAGGACGCCTCTCACGTTCACCAGGAGGACACTTGCAACCAAAGCCATGAAGTGGAGGAAGGCAGGGAGGTGTTTAGGTATTGGTCCGATACGTCCCCATGACAGCCAAGAGAAAGGGCTTTTACTCGGGGACTTGATTACGCAACCCAGCGGTATCATTCAGAGAGCGAAATAATATAGGATAGTCAATGGAAATGACAGCTGTGGCAGCAAGTCAGAAGGTTTTCAACCTATAGTATATTTTTTCTGGAACTGCGTGCCGTTTATCTTCCTCATGGGAGCTGACGACGACGATTCAAGCGGCGAAAGGCGTGCTTTTTCCTCCCTTCGCGCGGGCGCGCAAGTTTTACGGCTTTGCCTTCGTTTGCTACGATCCGCCGGACGCGGGGCGGGCGGTGGGGTTGTTCGCGCGCGTTTTTAACAGCGTGACGTCCACACGCTGGCGACTAAGGCGCGACTGCTAGAGGACGGGGGTCGGATGGCAAGGGGAGGGACCTCCACTGGGCGACTGAGCTGTACTAGAGCGCGGCTGAAGCCGGACCTCAACGCGAAGTACGATTTTGACGAGCTGCTGCGAGGCGGCGCGCCGGGCTGGAAACGGACGTCACGCTCGCGGTGTGGCTGTACGAGGAGGCCATCCTCGTAGGGCACGTCGAAGCTATGAGTGTGCTCGTATCCATGCTGGAGGACGCCGTCCTGGGCGTGCCGCCCTACATTTCCCGCGCGGTGCAGGTGTACGCAATAGCAGAGGGGGATGTTTTCACAATGAATAACTTCGGATTCCTGATAATGACCGGTGTGCACGGCCTCGAAAACGAAATCTCCCCATCAGTTGCGCTGGTCAATCTTGCTAATGAGGCGGGCTACGTCACTGCAACGTACAAGGTTAGGGGCGGCGCGCAAGGTGGTGAGCGAGACATGTCTCGCGCCGCCGCACTGCACGAACAAGTTATGGACTGCGAAGACGGCGACGAGCTGGGCGGACCAGTGCGCCTGCTGGAGAACGGCATTGATAGTCTCCCACGCGATGCGTTGCGCACGAAGGAGGTGTACGAGCGCGCGGTTGAAGGCGGCGATTTATGTTGCTGGTGCAAAAGAAGTTAGAAACGACACTGGACACATTCCATTGCGTGTGGCACAAGATAGAAATTCCCAAGCGGTTGCATGATGAGGAAGATGTGGACCGATTGTGCGACGTCACGCTTGCGATGGCAGGAGTAAGAACGGGAGACTTGGACACAATAGCCCGGATTGAACTGGTCCATGCGGCGGGCAATAGCCTAGTTCGGGTGCCCCTTGAAAGAACAACTCCCATTGTACAATAGTTTATTCATACTTGTCAGGGTGACAGGTTGGTCCACTTACCCCAATTTCAATGTCGTGATGTATCCATCATAAGAAAGGGAAAAGGTGCATCTCGAGCTGAAGTCTACTCGGGTGTGTTTAGAAGTCCAGATTTTTTGAGGAGCGCGCCTGCAGTGTGTGTTGTCTTTTTGCGTAGTTCATACCGATGAGACAGTAATTTTGTTGTGATAACGCAATGACATATCCATCCATCAATGCACATGCATGTGCGGAAAATGCCAATTAGCTTTGGTTGGGTTTGCCTCGCAGGTTTTCTGCGAGACGTTTGTACGTAGCGAAGATGATCCTCGAACACTGGGAATGAATGCTTGCCTCCGCACAAGACAATGGCTTATCGCCTGTGTCTTTTTAAACTAAGTTCTATCTTGAAAGTCGGCAGCGAAGATCCCCTGGCAGCTGCATCAAAAACGCTCTCAGCAAGGCCAGTCAAGGCTGGAACAAGGGAATCCATCTTGGAACCCTGGAGTTTAGCGAATACTGGAAGTGGTGTGCGATCCGACGCAAACTTGAACTTGGCTAGGTTGAGAGAGAATAAGGAGAGCCAGATGAGTCTAGTCTCTTTCTCCTGATCATTGAGAGAGATGTCACGCCCCATATACTTGGCCTGAGTCTCATTTGCTGCGAGCTCAAGTCTGAGAGCGGTGATGGAATAACCCGTTGTGTAAGTAGCGAAGCAGCTGATGAAGAATGCTTGGATAGCGTCATCGTACTCGACGCCGACGCTAGTATTCATAAAGCAGATGCAGACGTTGCGGAAGGTGACCGCCAGTGACTATGTGATGATAGGACCGCTTGGGGAGTCTGAGGAACCCGGGGGGACCTCCCGCAGCTTGAATGATCGGACGGCGGTACGGTTTTGGACGCACTCGCAACCGGTGGGAGCTGCGGGAGGAGGCAGTGGGGCGGAAAGAAGTGAGACAGAGGTGGCAAAAGGCGCATGCGAGAGTAAATGCTGGGGTAGAGTTCATCGCGTATCGATGTGCGCGATGAGAAAATCTGGCCACGAGGGTGAGAGCCTGCGTGAATAACAGACAATTTAATGATTTCAGGCGGAGGATTTGGAACGTGATTGAGAGCGCACCGGGACGGGTAGGGAAGTGAAATGTGTGCCACACAACAGAATGGGAATCGCAGAAGTTCGGGCTCTGTTGAAGCTGTTGGGCGACGGCGCAGCCAGAGTGCTTCGCGACGCACTCAGCGCGCTGGAGCTGTATCGGCCGACAGTGGATACGGGTAGCGCGGGCAGCGATGCCGAGCCGCCGCTGGTGGGCGACAGGACGGGGTATACCGGGCGTAAAACGGAACGACAGGACAAGTTGGTGGACGGGCGCGTGATAGTGGCGCTGTACGACGTGGCCCGGCTGCTGTTCCGCGGGGCGGAGGGCGTGGGGCACGATGTGGAGCAGACGATGGGTGCCTGTGGCGTCAGATGCAAAACGGGACGAAGGGGGCCTTACAGATCCTGCTGTATCTGGCGGCGTACGGCGCGGGCGAGTTCGAGCTCACGCTGGCGAAGGCGCTGGTAGTGCTAGACGGCGTGGAGACTCGCGTCAAGTATGTGGCGATGCTCGCCGTGAGCAACTGCTAGCGAAGGGTCAGAAGCGTGGAGCTGGATGCCCTCCGTGCGAGTTGGGTTGCTACTGCAGGTTATACAAGATACTGGCAGCGCGGTGGCGAGATCGAGCTGGCGAATCTTGTTGCGTTTGGCGATGAGGGCGTGGATAAGGACTTTGTTAAGGCTGTCGAGCTGTACCGCAAGGCAGCGAAGAAACGTTACTCCGGCGCGGGGCGTATCCTTATACAGTCTCTTGACGAGGGTAGGCGTTGCGTGTGCGCGAATGCTGGCTGGTGGAGCAGTTGGGATTGGTGTAGGGCGAGGGGAGGGCGGAGAGCGGGTCTAGTTCAGGAGGAAGAGTCCAGATGCCAGCGGTTTGACGCCCAACTGGGTTATTCTTCGGCTTCCCCCTTCATGTTCCATATGTGGTCGCGGAGTACATTTTGGAGTATGCGATGGTTCTCGGGGTCCTCAATGGGATCGAGGTGCTCCCTCCACAACATGGCTTGGTCGTAAGTGGATTCGGGACGCATTACGTCCTCGAAATGTACTCATCGTACCTGCTCCATCTCTTCATCGTTGCACACCACATTGTTGGTTCCTGTGTATATTTCCTTTCTAGACTCACAAACCATGTTGTGAATAACGCAGGATGCTCTGGCAACCATGTTCAGGTCTTCTTTGTTCCACAACCGGGCCGGTCTATGCGGTATCTAACAGCGACTGAAAAGCACACCAAAGACGCGCTCTACTGCTTTTCGCGCGGCAGACTAGTGCTGGGAGAACATTTTCTCCTTTTTACTTCGCAGATCAGAGGGCGGCTTCACAAATATTCGGAAGCCTGGATAGATCCCATCTGCCAAATTGTAGAACCAGTTTAGAATGAGCCGAGCCATACATGTGGGCGGTCGAACTAGAGGCCACAAGGCATTTTGTATTATGGATATGTATCATTTGATCACAGTGTAATGCCCCTCACCGCCGCTCTCGCTGACACCACGGTGACAGGTCACCGACGTCACCAGCGTGACTTCTAGTCTCACGCGCCCGCCGTCGCTTCTCGTAGTTTATCAAGGGGTGGTGGCAGTGCTGGTCAACGACGAAGCCCTTCAGCAGTCATCCGTTTCTCAGCAAGAGAAACGATTTCCCCGTGCCTCTAGTGCGGTGGTCACAGTTTTCCGCTACCGGTCTCGCCGCGCGGAATGTCAGGAGAACAACCCGCTGATCCAGCTACTCCCTCGGCCCCTGCTACAACCAGTAACACCGAGTTGCCTGCGCTCGACGCAGCAACATCATCCGCGATCTCGGCGCTCATTGCCGATCAACTCAAGATCGCCCTCCAATTCCTGCAACCAATGCGGGGCCACAAGCAGCACCTACCGACGCGAGTAGCCCGATCCCAGACGCGCACGCTCCTCCTTCTTCCGGAACCGCACCCGTCGCTCCAATCGTCGACAGGGCCGTCGCTTCTGCGGCATCAGTCGATCCCGCTGCGACTTCGGGACCGGTTCCCGATCCCACCGAGCCCGTCGACGAGCCCGGAGGAGACGAAGACGAGGACGAGTACGAGGAAGAAGGAACTCAGCGCGATCCTGAGGGGAGCGCGGGAACCCAAGCTTTCACCAACGCGTGGTACGTAGAAAGGAGAGGCTACCCCATCCCGGTCCGACTCGAAGTCCCCCGCAGTTTTGGGGGAGGCTTTCCGGTTGGCTTCGAACCTGATTCTGTCGAGCACTACCGGACGTTCGAGGCTTCGCAGACCAGTCCGGGTAGAGCAAGTGAAACCGGTACTCTGTACGTCACCTCTGCTTACCTCTGCCGCATATCGAAGGAGCTCCTCGACCTCGTTAGCGACATTGTCGACGTCCTCCCTCGGCTTGAATCGCCGACCGACCGGGAGGCCCTCCGACGGACGGTCTTACGAGCCTCCAACGCGCAGGTTAGTGCCTTTGGCGTCTACGAGCTCAACGCCTCGAAGTACGAGGTGCTCTGCGGGTGTCAGGGCGCAGCCGGCGTCGCCGACCCGGAACTGCTCGCGGCCTACATCGACCCCCCGGCCGCGTTCAGTACAGCTGGGCGTCAAGCGTTCCGCCGGCAGCAATTCCAGCAGATGAAGTACGCGGCACAAGCCGCCGGCCGACACCGAGGACCCACGCAGACACCTATCCTTCGCGGAGGAAGCGCCACCGCTGCCCTCAACGCCGCAACCCCGACCCCTGCTGGGGGTGGAGGCCGTGGTAGAGGACGCGGCCGTGGACGTGGGCGTGGACGTGGACAGATATAGCCACCCGGATGAGCAGCTCAGGCGGGCCGCCATATGTGGGCGTGGCTGGCACGTCAGCTTCGCTTCGGGCTTCAGCTCCCTTGGTTACGGGAGGTTCCGTACCAGCGCCCGCGGCCTTATCCCTTGTCACGGGAGGATGCATTGTTCGCGGAGACGGAGCTAGCGCGGTGGTTGTCGAGAGGGTTCGCCCGCAGGGCAACTGCGTCGGAAGCCCGGACGTTGACGCGAGCCGGCCAGATCTTCCCGTCGTTCGTCGCCAATACGACGGGAAAGAGCCGGCTCGTCGTCCACTACAAGCGGGCAAACGAGTGCATGGAGGCCAGGACCTTTCGCATGGACTAGATCTCGGACCTCGCCTCCGAGCTGCGCAAGGGCGACCACCTGTTCAAGGCGGACATCCAGGACGCGCACTACCATCTGCGCGTCCGGAAGGTCGACGAGATGCGGCTCGCTTTCTACGTCGGAAGCCGCATCTACGTTACGCTGTGCCTGAACTGTGGCCTCGCCGTCGCGCCTTGGTTCTTCACCAAGACGATAAGTCCAGTGGTAGCGTGGCTGTGCCGCCTCGGCCACCGGGTCTTCGCGTACCTCAACAACTTTTTTGGCGCCGCGAAACCCGGTCGACCCGACGCCGCCACTGGCCAGAAGGAGACGGCCGAGCTCGGAAGAGTTATGCCGCTACTCTTCGCGAAGCTCGGCCTGAACTTGCACCCGGGAAAGTGCTTCTTCGGCGGGTCAACGCGGCTCGAGATCCTCGGTATTCTCGTCGATACCGAGGAGGAGCGGTTTCTTCTGTCGCCCAAGAAGCTGCAGGCCATCGAGGCCGGGGCAGCGCGCCTCTTCCGATACGCCTCGCGGCACCGCCGTTACGTCAAGCGCAAGGACGTGGAGCGCTTCGCC